CCCTCCCACAGTGAGGATGGGAGCAAGCTGTGCCCAGCCTGGTCCTGCTGCCGGCACAGGCATCAGATGACACATATGGAGGTCTGGGTCACATCGCTGATGTGTCCTGTGCCCCATGACTGCCCAAAAAAGATGGTCCAGGAGGGGCCGAGCCAGGTACTTACATCCTCAGGCTCCCGGGTGTCATTGGAAGATGAGAGCTCCTGGATGTGTCTGGCGATGCCCTTTTCCAGCTGCCAGGGAGAAATGCACAGGCGCACTTGGGCTTTGCCCCCTGCACCAGCCTCCTCATGCCCATGCCTGGGTCCACCCAGCATCCCAGGAGCATTATGGGCTCCAGGTCCTCTTGGGTGAAACCTCCCCGCTTTGTACCAGGCGAGGGCCAAGGGGGGGTCAGTGGCAGGTGGTCACCTTGGTGGCCAGGGCTTGCACCACATCCCGGACCTCATGGTCCAGGCAGGAGACGGTGCTGTCGAGCTGGTTGTGCAGCGTGTGCTGGATCTGCTGCCGGTCGATGATGGTCCCTGTGCGCTGCTCCAGTTGGGCCCAGTCCAGCTGCGATGGCAGCCTTAGGATCAGCAGCCGCAGCTGCTTGATGTTGTTCACCACGATGCAGAGCTGGGGGAGGTGGATCTACTTCAGGGTGTCCCACACGCCCTCGTGCATCCCCTGCCAGCTCCAGCTCCATCCCCATCCCCATCCCACTCCCCCTGCTCACACCATTTCCCTCTTGATTTTCCAGGATTATGGCTATCGGGAGTCAACTGCTTCCCCTGAAACCCAGACCTGGGATGTCAGAAAGCCAGACCCAGGATGTCAGCTGGGTCCTCAGCAGCTCATGTCCCTCTTTACCCAGAAACCATGGCCAAATCCTACCTTTTCCTAAGCAGTGGACCCTGCCTCGATACCAACCCTGTTGGCCGCTTCACCCTCATTCTTCTCATTCAGCGAGAGGGCCTCAGCCCTCTCCTTGATGAGCCGGCAGTACATCAGGGCGATTTTGCACATGTCCTTCAGGATAGAGAAGAAGCCAATGGGACTGAGGTGGGCAGCACATCGGCATGGGACACCGGCCCCATTCATGGAGACACGTCTCCAAGAGCAGGAGAGGAAACTCCAGCTGCTGATGCCCATGAGCACGGCATCTGCTGGTCAGACCCGGTATACAAACCTCCACAAGCTTCACCATGATCATGAAGGCTTCCTCAGGGTCCGGCCAGTTGAGCTGCTGCCAGGTCTTCACGATCTGGGCGTAGCAGGTGGACAGGTCAACGGTAGATGTGCTGTGCTTGTTGTGCTCCCCAAAGGGAGTCAGCTGGGAGGGCAGAGAAAGCAAATGCAACTTAGCCTGTATGGAAAGGAGCCATCCAAGACAGGAGAGCTGCTCCTTCACTTCGGGGCTCTCTGGCCCATCATCAGCTCCATATATCCTGATGTCATCACCCAGTCACTTCAGAGAGTGGAGGAGATGAGGATGGATGGAGTGTCCCGAACTCCCTGCACGGGGCTGTGCCCCATCTAACTCAGTGTTGTTGGACCACACTGAGGAATGGGGCAAGGAGCCCGCAGCCCCATGGCTGTCTTCCCTCCCCTTTTCCTAAAGGTCAGAAGCGAAGGGGGATGCTCACAGCATGGCCCAAACGCAGGATCATCAGCTCACTCAGGCTGCCAGAGAGCAGAGTGGGAAGGGGCACAGGGATGCAGTGTGGCACCAGGGTGGGATCAACAGGTTCAGAAGACCACATCCTTTGTTATGCACTTGGGAGAGTAATCAGCCCACTCCTGGGCTGTAAGAGGCACCTACGTGGTGGTCTCCATGCTGTGAGCCGGGCACAGCAGCAAGGCATGGAGGGATCTGGAGTGTCCCCAAAGGATGGAGGGAGATGTTCTCCTCCCCAGGTTACCTGGTCCATCTGGACGGCTCTCTGTGCCCTCTCCAGTGCGATGGTGTAGGCCTTCTGCAGCCACTGGGGCACAGCTTCCTTGAACCACTGGTGGAAATTGCTCAGAGCCAGGGGTCCATCCCTGTGGATGAAGGCACCAGCTTCTCCAACTGCACAGCAACGGCATGGGGCCATCACCCCTCCTTGCTCTCATGTACAAGAAACTGCCCCAAGGCAGAGGCAGCACATAGCACTGTGCTAAGGAGGAACCACCCCTGGTCTGGAAGTTGAGGTCTCCATCAATCCCTCTCAGAGACAAGCCTGAAACCCTTCTGGTGATGCTCATATCAACACCAGACACCAACAGCCTGGTCTGCCTGGTAATTAGTGATGTAGGTGAAGGGGGAGGATTTGGAGTTCCTCTCAATTAACTGCTCACTCCTTGGCTTTAGCATCTCCCCTCTCGCCAGGTTGGATACCTCTTTAGGAGGAAGTCCTTCATCCTATAGAGCTCCTGCAGGTTCATGTAGAGCTGGAAAAGGCTCTCAGCTGTAGGCTTGGACATGCTGCTGTCGACTTCATGCAGCTGCTCCTGGACATGCTCTGCGACCTGGCAGTGAGCAAGGGAAGGGGGAAGAGCTGTCAGTGAGGGTCCGGTCAGGAAGGCTTGGTCTGATAGGGGGTGAGGGTCAGCTCAGGGGACTCGTCTTCCTTTTGGGTGGCAATTCAGGAGATTCATTGGGTCAAGTAAGCAGATGATAGTCACTTTATGGGCACGCAGGGAAAGATGGAGGTTTTCCCTGGCTTGCTCCCTTTCCAGGCTTGCAATAACCAGTTGTCACCTGAAGGGTGGCCAAAAACCTCAGACCTGGCTTTAGGCCTTAGTCCCTCAAGTTGCAGAGCAGCTCAAGCTTGCTTACCAGGCTCTCCAGCTCCAGGTAGGCGATAGAGAAGAGATTCAACTTCAAGGTACTGCAAGAGAGAAATGGGGAGTCAGAGGCCTGCCAGTCCCAGCCCAGCAAACCCTCCCAGACCATGCCTTTGCCGTAAGGGTGAGGACAGTACAGCTCTACAAGGCAGAGATGGGACCATAGATGCTATCTGTGGAGCCCAAGAGCCAAAGAATGAGGCATCGAAGTGCCCTGTTGCTCTTGATGCCAGGGAAGGTGGATGAGGGGGGAATCAAGCTCCGAAACCTACTTGATGAAGAATTTATTCCAGATTTTCTGGCACTGTTGGAGATCTTCTATCACCTCCAGGAGGAGTCTGGACAAGGCTTTGCCATTCTCTTCCATGCTCTGCAAAGGAAGGAACAGCTTGGTTTGGATGGTCAGAGATTTTGAGATGACCTGGGCTCCGTTCTGATCTGATTTAGTTCTATGATTTGTTCTCATGGGTTAGCAATCTATCATTAGATCCACATTAGGAGCACCAAGAAGTTGTCGGTAACATCCACTGTCACCCTATGCATGTGTGGCTGGGCTGAGTACCACCTCCTGTTCTGAGCATTGCACCAAGGCCTTAAGCTTCAACGCATCTCAGTAGCTGCAGGTAACATGCCTCATGGTATTTTTAAGCTGGAAACCCAAATGACTTGACTGTATCAGAAAACTGGAGAAGCTTCATCTCAGTCTTGTCTTCCCACCCCCTCAGGCCTCCCACCCCAAGCCCAGAAAATTGCTTCTTCTAATGTCAGAGAGGCAGAGATGGGAACTGACCTTCACCATGGGCTTGAGGTGCTGCTTCTTCATGTGAAACCACTCTGTTGTGCCTGACTGCAAGAGAGGAGTCCTGGTGTGATGGCAGGGAAGCAGGAGGAGCAAAGCCAGCTCTGTCACCTCCCTCGCTCTCCCTGTCCCCTGGGTGTGGTCAGGACCCAGACTCACGTGGTGGGAACCACAGGCTGGGACTACCAGGTTGAAGAGGGGCAGGTATTTCCCCCACCATGGTGGTAGATTTGGCTTTGCTGAGGTGTGGGCATTGGGCAGGGGATGGATGGGAAGGGGGAGCAGAAGGGTCCCACCTCCCCAGGGCTGGGGAAGGTGAGACCCCTGGTCCCACTACCTTCAGCGCCGTGGAGACCATCTGGGGGAGGTTGGGGTTGAGCGTGCACAGCTCGTGGAAAGCTTTCATTTTGCACATCTGGACCAGGACCCTGCAAAGTGAGAACCTCGAGTGAAATCCAGCACCAGCCTGTCAGAAACAACTGCCTCTCCCCCCAGAGACCCTACCCAAACAGAGATTCCCCTCCCAACAACATCCCCCACAGGGAGCCCAGGACGAGGGACAGAACAGGACAAGTGCCATAGCAGCCTGGAAGGTGGCAGAAAGAGCTCATGTGGGTTTTTGCTCAAGCTTACAGGCTTGTCCATCGTGATGGCCAAGCCATACGACCGCATGCACAGCCAGCACCAGTGCTCGACTCACCGGAGCAGAGACTGGAGCCTCTCTGTGGACCTCGGGACAGAGAGGGGGAAAATGATGCGGTACCTCCGGATGAGGGAGACCCCGTAAGTCAGCAAGGACTGGAAGGACTCGGCCAGCTCTGCTTTCTGGGGAGAAGGAAAGAAACACACGCTGTCCTCTTCAGCAGCAGGCAGAGATGCCGGCAGGACCCCAGGTGGCATCACGGTGGATGGAACTGGCGGCTCCTGTTCCTTTCTAGCCTGCTGCAGGGACGGGAAACCCCCCCGATACCTCGGGTAACTTCTCCCTGGAGGGGGCTGAACTGAGCTTTGCGCTTAGACCTCATTGCTATGCATGAAAAATTCAGAGTCTCAGCAGGGTGCTGGGATGCCCTGGGAAAATGGGTGGGGGAAAGTAGGAATTGGGTCATATTTAAGTTTTGCAGGGGGTTGTCATTGATTTGATGGCAGCGATAGAGGAGGAGGATGTCAGTGCAAAGGGTAAGGGCTTCTTTGCGGAGATGGGTAGCAAACCCCTGGGGTAAAAGAGGTTCCCTGACCTGTGGTTTGTCCTGGTCCCCATGGCTGGTTCTCCCCAGAAATGCCCTGCAGCAGCCCCGGAAGCCCTGTACCCCACGAGCTCCTGCCCTTCCTGGAACCCAGGGAGGGAAATGGCCCTGGGAGCTGGGAGGGGAGGCTCGGGGTTGGGTGCACAGGGTGCATTTCCCTGATCTCTGCCCCCCGCATGGTGCCAGAGCCCCCTCACCTGCTCTGGCTTCAGGCGCTCCTGCACCCACTGGTACTCGATGCTGGTGATCTGGTGGAGCAGGCAGTTGCTGTTGAACTCAAGGCTCTGGTAGAGCTTGCTGTATGCCAGCCACTGGGTGGGGAGGAGGGAGAGGCTGGGCTGAGCCCCCGGGGCAACCCAGGGGCAAGCGTGGGGCTCCCCACCCACGGCTGTTGCTGGGGTTGCAGGGGCAGGACCCGGGTCTCCTGGTGCTGCTGGGGGCAATACCAGTCACGCTGAGCTCGTGGGAGAGACTGGCTACAGTCAGACCGCCCCAAGGAAGGCGTCAGGGCCCTTCCCTCCCCCCCCCTCCCGATGCTGCACCGTGGCTCCCCAGGCGTGGGCTACTCACGCCATGACCTGGTGGAAGTCGGAGAGATCCTTCTGCGTGGCATGCAGGTACAGCACGGTGCTGGCGTGTCTGCTCAGCTCCCCATCCCAGGCGATGCTGCCAGCCTGCGAGGATGCAAAAGAAGGGTGACGGTCCTGGAGCAACTTGGGCTGAGCGAGGACAGGGACAGGCACCAGGATGGGGTGTGTTTGCAGGACCACAGGAGGAATCATAGAATCATAGAATGTTTTGGGTTGGAAGGGACTCCTAGAGGTCATCTAGTCCAACCCCTCTGCAGTGAGCAGGGACACCACTAACTAGATCAGGTTGCTCAGAGACCCAGCCAACCTGGCCATGAATGTTTCCAGGGATGGGGCCTCCACCACCTCTGGCGACCCGTGCCAGTGTTTCAGCAGTAATGGGTGCCCCGTAAGGATGCCAGGCATGGGCAGGCATCATCATGACACTCCTCCCCATCACCCTGCAGCAACGTGTCAGGCATGATGGGCTCCAAAGGAAACCCTCACCCAGCCCAGCTGCTGGAGGGGCTGCTTCTCCCCCTCAGTACCTGGTGCTGAAGGATCTCATAGGACACCAGCTGCTGCAGAAGGTGGCGATGGACAGTGTAGCTCGGCTGTGTCCGGCTGCTCATGGTGGCCCTCTGAAAAGGGACAAGGCACAGAAGGAATAACCATAACTTGCCTGAACATGCAGGGACACAGTCAGAGAGCAGGGACACAGGAACCCAAAAAGCATGGGGCCAGAGAGCCCTGTTTGAAGCCGAGCCAAGGGGTGCAGGTACAGCAGGAGCAAGGTCCCCATGCTGGCGTCGAGCTCAGGGGAAGGTCGAGCTGGTTTCCAGCACATGCAACCTCTGGTGCTGGGGTAGGGATCTGTCACCCCAAGAGAGGCCCCAAGGGACAGGCAGCTGCCTCGTCCTGCCAAGGCAATGGAAAGGGACCCCCCGCTCCCCATCCCCGCCTACCTTCTTGTGAGGCAGCAGGAACTGCAGGTGACACTGTCCCCGGTTGGGGTACGTCTCCGTCCGTGGCTCCAGCTGGTACCACTGGTCATCCCAGCAGTGCAGGTCCTGCATGCACAGAGACAAGGGTGAAGCCCCAGGCAGCCTTCCTGGGGAAAGGATCCCACTCAGGGACCAGGTCCCACTGCGTTAATGGGGAAGGAAGATGCTGTATTGGTTTAAAAGATAATCACTGAGTGAGTGTGTTGGAGGGGCTGGGGCACCTGCCACCAAACCGAGGGACCTGGCATCAATTTGCGGCTCTGAGCCGGGATCCTGGGTGAGCTTGGTGCTGCCATGGGGCTGGGATGCTGCCAGGATCCCATGAGGTTTAACTGGCACCTGGGGAGTCACTTGGAGGAGGGAACGCACCGCAGCACTCACCTTCAGGCGAAGGACCACGTTCCCCAGGAAATCGTCCTGCCCTTTGTCTTTGCGAGCATCTTTAAAGATCCTGAAAGGCCCAAATGAAGGAGGAGGTGAAAAAGTTTCCTGCGGCCGTGACCCAGCTGTGGTCAGGGTGAAGAAGGGCGGCGCAGACCTGCCACCCTCCCTTCCTCCTTCCAAAGGCAATTTTTTAAATCCAGCAGGCAAATAAGCATTTTCTAAACCCTCTTTCCTCGGCAGCCGTTAGGGCCATGCCAGCACCAACCGTTTGAGGCCATGGAGGTCTGTCAGCTCCCCCAGCTTGTGCCGCACTGACTCCACCACGTCCGAGTCCCTGCAAGGGTGGGCAGCAAAAGCCACCGAAGGGGAAAAGGAGGAAAATCAGGCGATTACAAAACAGTTCAGGGAGCTGTAATGATGGCGGAGAAGGGAAGGTGCTGGGGGGGAATATGTTTGGACTGAGGCCACGCCCAAAACCAGCTGGCAGCCAAAGTCTGCAAACACATGTCTTCTTGCCACAAATAAAATCAGGGCTCAGGATCAGCCCTGCCTGGGTAAAGGCAGCCTGGCCTCTCTCTGCTCATGCTGGTCATATCCTGCACTGTGCACTGCTCCAGCAGGAAGCAATGGGGAAAGGGGTCCCCAGCTGGTTTCTGGGGCTTTTTAATGGGTGCAGGTTGAAGGACCACCCCAGTGACCCTCCCAGGAGGCAGCACCCCGCTTAGGGCCAGGGGTCGGGGTTGCTGGCTGGGGGGTGCTGCTGCTCACCACATGTCCAGGTGGAAGCTGGCCATCTCGATGTCTTCGAACTCCCTGCAAGGCACCAGCAGGATGCTGTTACTTGAGCAGCATCTGCAGGACCGGCAGCAAGCAGGCAGGACAGCAGGGAAATACAGGCAGGGGGGGTCCTCCCTGGGGGAGACCCCAAACCACCCTGGGCAGCCTGGGAAAGTGGTGGGAGAGCCCCGAGGGAGAGATTTTTGCCCCAATTTTGTTTTTCACCTCCCTGGACCTGCTGCACAGGTCAGACCAGATGCCTGGCAAGCCCCAGTGGGCATCGCTCCAGCAGAGCCCCAGCTCCTGGTTGGAGTGAGTGGCAACCCCCCCCCCAATCCACCCCCAAGAGCCCTGGGCACCCCCTCCAGCCCCCCATGAAAAAAGCCAAGGGGTGGCAGATTACAGGATAAATGTCTCGTCCCACACCGGGCTGAGGGTCTGGCTTATGACTTGTGTGCGATGGATCTGGTCTTCGGGGATGAGGTCTTTGACCACAGCCTTCATCCGCTTCTTGTGATCAGCGTGGGCCGGTTCCTGGCTCTTGGCCTCGATGCCCAGCAGGCAGTATGGGTCACTGAACCCTGCGAGGGCGGAGGCATGCAAGTCCCTGTTGGGAGCAACGTCTCTCCCTTTTCCGATGGGATACACACCCGTCTCCACTTACCACTGACGTCTTTACCCAAAATCCCCTTGGCTTCCTTGACGGTTGCTTTCAGGCAAAAAATTGGGCTCTGGAAGAAGGGAAAAAAAAAGAAAAAGCTTAATGTGGGGTCACTAACCCTATGAGGGAGGATGGGGCTCAAGAAGGATTGCACCATCGGCTGCTGCTCATGCCAGCACACAGCTCCTCAGCAACTCCCCCACTACAGCCCAGGGCACCCCATGCCCCAAATCCCAAACACAGGGGCTGGGAGGCACCACACACCCCCAGTACCACCCCGATACGGGGACGCCCCTGGCCGCAGCATACTGGGGAGACGCCATCTGGCCGCGTACCTCCAGTTCCTTGACCTGCTGCATGATGACTCTGTGCTCCTCCGCATCCATGCCAAAAGCCTGTTGTAGATATTAGGGCTGGTAATGGATGCTGTCCTGGTAAAGGGGGGCGGAGAGTAGCCAGGGGCTTCCCTCCGCTCCCCGGGAGCCAGCTGCAGCTCAAGGGGAGAGGAGAGAAGCAAAGAGCCCAGCAGAAGGGCTGGGGACCAGCTGAAAGCTCTTGAGGGAGAGCCTTCTTCCCACCACCCCAAGCCTAAGATAAATATTTCTCCCTAAGGCTGATATTTCCCAGCCGCAAGCTGTCCCAGCCCTCCAGCTGGATGCTACTGCTACGTCTTTTAAGACGCCTGTTAAAAGCTCACTCCAAGAGCTTCCCATCTCCTTCAGCCAGGAGGGTGGACATGTTGGGGCACAGGTTTTGGGGACCCTGTTGGGGAGGTGGGGACCCACCTTTTGCACGTAGGCATAGAGCTCTTGGGCATCCGCAACGTGGTGGTGCTCGGGCTTGCCCAGGCGGTGCTTGATGGTGTAGAGGACCTCCTCGTAGAGCAGGACCAGCTGCAGGGGGAGCACCAACACCGGTGGGGACTTGCTCTGTGCATCGCCCAGGATTTGCAGGGTGTTCCCCCTGCTGAGCTCCCCACCAGTACATGCCACCGTCCCCCCCAGCATCCAGCCCTGCCTGGCCACCACTGGCTGTCCCTGGGGAGCATCTTCAGGAGCTGAGCCATGTCCCCAAGCCCCAGCAGCACTGCCACCCCCTCCAGTGCCACCAAGGGAGACCATGGCAGGGCCATGCTCGTACCTCTCTCTTGGAGAACCGGTGGGACAGATCCATCTAGAGAAAGAAGAGAAACAGAGAGAGTTGCTGTCAGGTCTCATGGTAGAGGGTGGTTTTAGGAGGAAACCACAGCTGGGCAGGGCAGCCAGGACAGGGCGGCATCACCCACAGCACATCAGGGTGGGATGCTCCAAAGGATGCCGTGACACCCCACAGACACCCCGCGACCAAAGGACCACTTCCTCCATCACCCACCAGCAGGGCAGCACAGGGATTTCACCCCCAGTTTCAGTCCCATTAATTGAGGAGGGGGCAGCAAGGATGGCAACAGCAATATGGGGTGACCCATAGGAGGCTTTAAAAGCCAGCCACCCACCTCTTGCCCCACAGAGCTGCTCGCTGGCCCAGCCAGGCCCAGCAGGACCAGGCTGGAGAGCAAACCAGCCAAGGAAGAGGGTAGGTGGCCAAAGAGCAGCAAGGAGCTGCAGGCTGGGCAAGGCAGCTATGGGCAAGGAGATCCCAAAAAGCCATCAGGATTTGTGACTTCAATCCCCTTGCCAGAAAGAAAAACAAGCACTGCTGCAACAGTGCATTGCTCCTTGTTGAGCTGAAGGTCCATTCCCTGCTTGAAAGGTGACCAGCAATAGCATTTACTTTCCAAAATGCAATGAAATTAAAGCAGTGCCATGAGACAAGGCACAGCCCATCTCCAGTGGCGCTCAGCCCTGGGGTTGGCCGGGGGGTTCCTGTTGCCAACGCAGCCCCCATCGTTGCCCAGTTCAAATGTCACCACCCACTCATCCCGGCTCCACATGGATCCGGTGGGGAGATCAAACCACCTCTGCCAAAAATACTCTTTTCCCTGTCAAACCCCAGATCTTAGCCCATCCTCACCCCCTGTTCCCTTCCCAACTCCAAGGCTGAGCCCATCCTGCATCTGCTTCTCTAACCACAGTCTGGATTCGGCCACTGCCGTGGCTGAGCAACTCATTCCTGCAGCGGAGCCCGGCTGGGTGACGGTGACTTTGCCACTGCCATGAGCCGGGTGACACAGCCAGAGAGAGGAGGACCAGTGCCCCTGTGCCATCCATTATGGCTCCCGGTGCTGGAGCCCCTGGGAGTGCAAGGGGGTGGTGCCAAAAAAATATAGTGGAAAATTTTGAAATTAGTTTGGCCCTTTCTGTGCCAAGGGGGCGTACGCTGAGCATGGCCCCAGCGCCCTGCTCAACCAGGGCTGGCAGGGATGGATGGATAGATGGATGAGCCCTACCTGTGTGTCAGCCCAGGCCCCAAAACGACCTTAGGATCCCCTTAATAAAAAAAAAAAACAACAAACCAACCACAACCCTGAGCTGGAACATTAACATTTGCTTATGGCAAATCCAGGGCTGGCATAATCCCCCGGCCATCTGGACTAAATTCAACTCTTCCACCCCTGGCGTGTTTAACCCTTGAGCTGCTCCTCTCCCACCCACCTCCAAGTCCTTTCTTTTAACCGCTGCTCGGTGCAGGCACTGGGGTGGCTCAGCAGCCCCTGTCAAAGGGGGACCCTTTGCACCCAGGAGGGCCCCTGCCCACTCCTGCCCAGGTCACTGTCCTGCCTGCACTAGGGCACAGTGGGCACGGCCCCCATCCCAAATCCTTCAGCATCCCTGTGGGCAGTGCTGCCCCATAGCAGGGTTGCACATGCAGAGGGGAGAGAAAAGGGATTTTACTCCCCTACTGCCATTACTTATCAGCAAGGCACAAGCGTCTGCTCCTGGCCCAGCAATGCAGCAGCATGAGAGGGCAGGGGGAGGAATCGCTGTTGATTTGGGGGGCAGCTCCCTGTTGCTCCCGTCTGCCATCGGGGATGGCTGCGGCAGGATCTGCTTTGTGCTTGCCCATATGCGCACGGGACTGGTTAAGCTAAAGCTGAGCTGAGCCACCAGGATGTGTTTACTGCTGCTAATCCCCACACCAAGAGCCCAACTCCAATCCAGGAGTGGTGCTTAAATCCAGCTCTGGATACAGCCACGAGCATCCCCCCCAGCCCCGCCCTGTTAGCTGCGGCAGCGTCACGGGTGCAGGAGGCCAGCTTGGCTGCAGAGACGGCGACACTTAGTAGGGAGGACAAGTCCCTGGGGGGGGAAAACCAGCAGGGCAGATCACCCCAGGGTTCAGCACGGGGGATTGTGCCCGCACACTGCCAGCAGCGCCAGGCAGAGTCATGCAAAGCTGCAGGTCCCATTCCCATGGGGGCGGCCACAGGGGACGACATCTGTCTGGCCGCTGCAGAGGAAGTCGGTTGGGTTGGGTTCGGTTGGGTTGGCTGAGAGCAGGGCTTTGGGGGATCTCCTGGCAGCAGGGGCTGGGAGGCACTGGAGAGCTGTAGCTGAGCTAAAAGGGGACCCTCAGTGCCGGTACAGAGCTGCAGCCGATCCTGTACACAGCCCTCGGGTGTACATTTGCACAGGTACAGTACCCCCACATCCCCACCCCCACTTGTAGCTCGCCCTTGCAAAGCATCCCAGCCAGGACACGGACTCAGTCCCTTTCCTCTCATTCCCTGTTTACAGCCTCGGCACCCAGCTCTGCACCCCTGGGTCACCCAGGCACAGCCAGCCCAACCCCCTCCCTGAGGCCATCGCACCCCAAAACCTTTCCTCAGCTCCAAGCAAGCTCCCCAGCCCCCCAGGGTCACAGGCACCTACCTCGGGGCTCTCCTCCCCGAGGAGGGTCCCGGTGGGGGTGTCGCTGCCGCTGCCGCTGCTCCCCCTCGCTCGCATGCTCGGAGGAAACCACAGACCTTATCTCGCCATGGCCATTTTAACAAGCGGAAACGTGCACAGGCCTCCTTTGAGAACAGCACGGGGATGCAGGCGCCCCGGCCTCGCTTCCCACCGCCCCGTCCTGCACAGACAGCCCCTCGGTGATGTGGACCTCACAGCACAGGTGGGATGGGAGCAAAAGAAGAGCATCACATCCAGTCCCTGCTATTATTTATGAGCAAGGAATTGGGAATAAGCAGACAAAAGTAGTCCTGAGAAGGCAAAGCCCATCAGGGAAAGGGGGTAGTGGGAAGGATGGCCAGGAGCAACGTGGAGGCTCTGGGCTCCAGCACGTGTATTTGGGGTCCATCCTGCCCCATGAGCGCAGATGGGGACCCCACAGAAAGCAGAAGTCATCTTCAGCACCACGGGATGGAGACGATTTGAAAGCCGGTGCAAAAGCTGCAGGGTGGGAAATGCCTGAGGCACCCAGGTGCATTGAACAACGTTGGGCTGAGCACTGATGCAGTTAGCGCATGTGCCAGGGACGGCACCGGGAAAGGGTGTGCGGCCTTTTTCCTGAACGGGCTGTCCAGGCAGAGCCGGTTACTAAGAAAAAAAAGCAGCAGGAAATGGAGTTTAAAACTTGTGCTTTACTGTCAGCTTTCATTCTTGTAAACACTTTATCTGATTGCAACTTGCAAGGCAGTTGCCTATCACAGACCGGCAACGGCGCCCACCCCTTGAAGATCCCTATCGAAACGCCTGCGCTGATGGCAACTGGGGGGGAGATGCTGCACAGGAGATGACCAAGGGACAAGCTGGTTTGCTCCTGGATGTTTAATGTACTTGCACACAGCTAATAGCAGCCTCAGGCTCAGAGGGGCTTTTGAGCTGCGCAAGCATTTGCTGCTCAGCAGACGGACCCAAAACCCAGGGAAGGACATCAGCCTGCACTCAAGACTTGCATCTCACTGCTGCGGCTGCTGAGCACCCACAGGCTCTGCAAAGCAGGGCCGTAAGCACAGCTGACACTATACTCGGGGGAATTTTTGTCTTTCCAGCCTTCCTGTTTCTGGCCCACAGACACTCCTGGAAGCTGTAAGCAAGATGTTTCAGATGCAACGTGCGGGGCAGAGGCTCCATGCTGGGTTCAGTGCGGCTTTGTAGCCTGTCAGGGATTTCTGCTTAATCCAAACAGGAAACCACGTCCGTGGAAACTGCACTGGAAAGTGTCCCTTTAACTACCGTATGAGGCATTGCAAAGAGATGACTCCAAGAGCATGGAGGTACCCTGCAGCACGCTGGCTCCAACCAGGGCTGCAGGAGGATGCTGGCAGCAGCATCCCTGTGCGAGCCCGGGGGCAAGGCAGGCAGCCAGTCCCTTTCATCCTTGCAACCATCTAGGCCTTTAATTAAGGCAGGTTGCACTGTTTTAGCTGCTTTAGGAGAGACAAAACTTCCCTTTGTCCTGAAACCCTGAAAGAGCAGCTTATATTGGCAAAAGGGGTTCCCTGAAATTGGGGGACCAGGAGATGGGAAAAGGGCTGCCAGCAGCAGCAGCGGGGCAATGAAGGGGGTCAGGTTTTCTTTATCCCGGGCAGCCAGCACGGGACCGGGGCTGTGAGGGTACACAGCACATGCACAGCAAGTTGCCAGAGGCAGGAAGATGCTGAGCTGATCTACAGAATAAAAATCCAGAGATACAGCGAGACACCAAAAAGCTGAAACCCATCCCTGCTCTCACAGCAATCGTCCAGCCTCATCCCCCTGAGGTCTGAAAAAAGCTGCTCGTTACAGTCCTGCTCTCTCCCATGTCAGAAGGGCTCTTTCGTAACTGTCCCCAGGAACCAGCACGGTAGCCCTGAGGAACTGGGCTTCAGCATCACTTCCTCTGCTCTCCCCAGTTTGGCGGTGGAGCCGCCTCCTCGCCCTGCGCCCGGTGAGGGTGCCCATCCCTTTTGCTGGCAGAGGTGCTTGGAGGTGCTTGCCCAGCACTGCCAGCCTCGGCCTTGACTTTAACCAGCCTAGCATGTGCTTCACCTTGGGCAAAGAGTTTAAAAGCATCTCCTCCCTTGCTGATGGAGAGGCACATGGCAGAGGAGCCAATTTCTATTCTGCATCCCTCCCCCCTGACACACACAAATGCTGTTTATTGATCAGCACCGCGCTCCACTGCAAAACGTTGTCAGCGGGAAGCAGAGATGTAAAGTGCACGATGGCATTTGAAAATGATTGCTGGCATCTTTGCTTTTAGCTTTGATTGCAAAAGCAAAATCTGGCCCAGCAAGGAGCAACCGCAGAGATAAAGGCAGGACGCGGACGCAGCATCCCCGAGCTGCTCACACCTTTAGCTGCTTCTTGCCAACAAAAAATAACAGGGGTCAAAGAAACATCTTTTACCTCAACCAGCACAGAGAGAACAACTGGTAAGAGTTCAGTTAATCCTCAGATCCACCTCCCTTCTCCTTGTAACGCTAAAGAAATAAAATCCACTGCAGTCATAAATATTGCTAAGCATCAGGCAATCATTCTCCAGCCAGGAGCCGGTGGCTGTGCTGGGGTTTTGGAGAGGAAATCTTCAGCTTCGGTGTGGAAGCATCTAAAAAGCACTTTCAGGGAAGTTCCCCAGCTGGTCACTGCATTGCTTGGGGCTGCTTTGCTGGAAACACTCAGGCACAGCCCAGCAGGGTGGGCAGCACATGCCCCCCATCAGAGGCCAGCAAGGTCCTTACGGAAGGTCTGTGTGCAGGGCTCACACGGTTTTGAGCCTCTGTACAAAGGGAGAGTTCTTTGGTAATCGTGTTTCAATAGCAGCAAACACCCTTTCTTGTCCCTGGGTTTTACCAGCAACCACCTGCTCCACAAAATACTGGTGACAAAAATCACTGAGCTCACGTATCTCATGGTATCTACACCTTGAATTACTCCTTGTCCAGGAAACAGTAAAAAAAAAGCCGTATAAAAGCAGCTCCAGAGGTAAGAGACATTTCTGGTTAGTAGACACAATCCCAATAAGCTCCATGCGCTAAACCTGCAGGACAGCTAGCCAGGACCTTGCAAAACATCCCAGACCTCCCAGGTCAGGAGGACAGTAAAAGGACTTTGTCTTCCAAAGGGTGTGGGTCAGCATTCCCCAAAACAGACCTCCCTCCCCACAACATCAATCTGCTCCCCAAGATAACTACCCAGGGACACGTACTGTATATATGCACAATACAGAGTGAACACAATATAGAGTGAACCCCTCCATTCCTTCTAAGAACAACTCGTCCAAAAGGAAAACCCTTTTCCTCCCAGGCTATAGGGCTATGCTCCTGTGGGGTTATGGGCTGCCCTTGGTACAAATAAAGTTCACAGCTCACTCGCGCACGGGGTTATAGGTGCTGCTGAGAGAACAGATCTCCAGAGAAAGAGCATTATCACCCTCTTTAAAGGGTATCTTAAAGGAAAACCTGCTATGAAAGGACCCTCCGCAAGCATTAACAGAAATTTATCTCCCTACCTCTTGGCTTGATAATCCTGGAGCCGCAGCCTGCCCTCACTCTTATCTCAATCTCTCGGCTGGAAACGGGCAAATAGTCAAAAAATTGATTTCAACATGTCCCTCCCTCACTTCTTCTTTTAAACACGGGGTCCAATGACTCTGCAAAACCAGGCTGTGCCTGCCAGAGTTTGGCAAGGCGTACAGTAAAAGCCCAGCGCAGGGGAGAGGAAGGTGGTTTCAAAATGAGTACAGGGATGGTCCTGCTCCCTCTGCTCTGGGCTGCCCGGCCGGGGCATCCCCCCGGGGAGCTGTGGGTGTTGTGTGTTCTGGTACCAGCGATTTCATACCCGGCAGGGACGTCAGTCATTTCCCCTCCTTGTCTACTACAGGGCCTTGCAGTTCTTTCTGCCCTAACCCCACATCTTTCCTTCCAGAGGCTCTCCCGAATGTTTGAGTGCACCTAGCAAACAGCAATGGTACCTGGGAAGGATGGAGAGGGACACACAGCACCCCCAACCCCATTTGGGACATTTCAGAAGGACATCAAAGCAAACCCCGTCCTTCTGGGAAGAGCAAAAGAACTTCCAGCCACCCACGCAGGGCAGGGTGGTTGTGAAAGCAGTGTTTTCCCCGGGAGCCCTGGGCGGGAGCACGGGTTTGGCGTGAGACCTGCCGGCTCCACAGTGGGGGCGCGCAAGGATGACTCCAGCCACGCTGCCCACGAGGCAGTCAGCATCCCTGTCACCCGGGGGGGCTTCACCAGCCAGCCCCAGCCCCTCTGGAGAAAACGCCACTGTGATGCCAAGCGCTGCTCAGAGCTGCTCCAGCTCCCCGGGGAGCTGGCTGGGTCCCAAAGGGGGAAGCACAACGGGTCCTGCCCACCCCGACCCCGCTTCCCTGCCATCCCCCTGGGGCCCAGGGCCCAAGGCTGACCTGCCCAGACACCATCCTGCTCAAACACTGCATCTGGCTGGCTCCCTGCACAGCAGCACAAGGCGGGGGGAGAGCATGCCCCCCCGCCCCAGGCAGCAGCCTGCCTTGTCCTTTAGGAGGTCACAAACTTCATGTATTGACTTGGATGCCATTCATTCGGCTTGGGGCGCCCCGTGACAGCTTTAAAACATTTTCTTCATCACTGCCATGTTCTACACGTTATGCAGCAATTTTTTCATCCACTTCCCTCTCCAGAGAGATGAATTCAGTGTCAGCCACTGGATTTATCATCCCCTCACCGCAGGGCTGAGGCAGCGGCGGCTCTTACTGCAGGGGCAGGAAAGGGGGGGGCACAAACATCAAGGTCATTGCACTGGCTAGTTTGAGGCACCGAGTTCAGAGCAGCAGGACCTACAGCACATGCCTGAGCCAAGAAGGGACCAGGGTGGATGCCTGTGAAGGTGGAAGAACTCGGGACTGATACCCAGGTACCAGGCATGCCCCATGGTGTGTATTAAGCAACCTTCTTGCCTACCCTGGAGCACACATGTCAAATTATTGACCACCTTCAGCACCGAAACAGTCCTTCCCTGGCTTTTCCACTGCCACCTCTCCCCACATGTGTGTCAAAACCCCCTCAGGAGCCCACCAAGCCCCACAGAGCTGCATGCTTGGACGACATGAGGAGACTGCAGGGCTGAAACCACCCCCGCCCCACCCCTGGATCCCAGACAAACGCGGCAAAACACAGAATATTATTGCAGCCAATCTGTGCCTCGGGGAGAGCGACTGCGTCCCAGCCAGAGCCCAGCCCCTATGGAGCAAAGTACATGGAGGAGGAGGAGAGACTGAACTTGAGCAAGGGAAAGGAAAGGTTTAGAAAGATGGGATTTGCTGAACCAAGCTCGTAAGTGGAGTCCAAGCTGATACCTTTCACTCCAGTATCCAGAGACTGTAGGAAACGTGTAAGAAGCGTCAGGCAGGCAGCTGGGAGGACGCAGCAGAGATCAATCCCGGTCCATTTACACCCTGAGGTGTGAGATCCAGCAGCCCCCACTGACAGGTAAGAGTCCCTGCTCCTGCTCGCCGTTACATGGCTGTCTTCACATCCCGCTGTGCCCTCTCTCAGCAGCACGGTGACGATCCTTGAGCAAGGAGGGTGCTGAAATACCAGTTTCCAGTTCAGTCTCATGATGGGCAGCTCTTTGAGCTGACTCATGCAGGAGAGCACATGGGTGAGTAATACCCGGTATGGCTGCAAAGAAAAGCCTTGCCTAAAATTAAGATCTCCGCCCTGCATGTCCTGGCATTTCATACCAACCCACAAAAAAACCACATTTGTCACTTCAGCTTACTTGTACAGCTTTAAACCCGAAACCACCTCTTGATCACAGCCTGTCCGAGCAAAACCCACCTTCTAATACCAACCTGTCAGTTGTTCATGGCTGGAGGTGCCTGCAACGCGACCGCATCGGACAACACAGCTGCTCACTGGTGAGGGCTGGCCCTGCTCCCTGGCTGCTCTGGGAACAGCTGGGTCCAAACTTCATCCCACGCCTCCTGCCACCTCCGGCGACGCTGGCAAAGGGAGCCGGCACTGCGAGCTGTAGCTCCTGAATCACGGTGTCCATCAGGCAGCAGAGATGCAATCTGACTGCCTGTGGCTCAGGGAGCGGTGGGGAATTCTGGCGGTCCCTGAAGACACACACACACACTGCACACCAACACACCCACACACCGGCTGTACACCAACACACACACTGCACACCAACACACACACACACGGGGCAGGCGGGCGCTGGCCAGGCTGGTTTAACCACGGTCCCTATGATCACTCAGCACATACCCCCCAGCTATAGAGGAATTAACACAAAATAATTGTTTTAATTTTTTTTAATCGGTCACATGAAGCTCAAGGTAAGATCTGGGCAGAATGGTGAGGAGGAGGAGGAGGGCTCGGTCTCTCCCTTCGCTGGAGGCAGTCCTGGGCAAGCACGCACATGCCCCGTCCTTCCAGCGTAAAGACCTTCCCCAGCCCCCAGGGGTATCAGCAAGATTTCAGGGCTGATAGTAGGAAATCTGTAAGTAGTACCTGCAGTTCCTGCAGTAACAGGGTTTTTTTGCATAAGATCTCAAAGCACTTTAGAAATACCTAGTTACACCACAGTCCCACAGAGGAGGGAAATGGCTGTGTATTCAGAGCGAGGAAGCAGGCACAAGGTGCGGTGAGCGACTTCTCAAACGAAGAGCCTAGGTCACATCAAGGAGACAGAACTGTACGTGGTGGTAGAAAATCTGTCTATCCCAAAAGATTAACTAGATCCAACACTAACCGTCCTCTGTGCCCCCTCTTCTCCTTCACTAGTATACCGCTCAAATAGTGGAATTTAACGGTACCGATCCAGCTTTCACATGACAGCGTCTCTGCTGCAGAGCTGATTAATCATTCAAGCAGGGACCAAATCTGGAGATGTATTAACGCACAACATTTCCTCCTGCCCTACTCCCACCCTACTTCCAGAACAGAAGCAGGCTTTCAACTGCACTTCCCTCCTTTAATATTTTAAATCTCCTGCATGGGCAGCAGGACCAGCTGACCCTTCCACCCTCCCTAAGCCCTTGCCAAAGCAGAGCGCGGCTCCTGGTTCCCATCAGGGAGATGACAGTGAGTGCTGAGTAGCTGAACCAAATCTGGGTTTTCAGGTTTGAACAAGCAAGGCAGGGATTCTCACCGGCATCTATCCGGCCAAAATCTGCGCCCTCCTGAATCGTGCTGCTCCACTCACCCCAATACCTGCACGAGCCTTGCTGACTGCGTGACCTGCCCAGCCTTTTGGCCCCACAGCTTCAGCGTTCCTAAAATGTGCTTCACTTCCTATCAGCGTGCTCTAAATGCACCAAGAAGGCCATGATCAGCCTCTCCATTTGGGCTTGCTCCTTCTCACCTCCCCACAGACCGTGCCAAGCTGTAGCCCAGAGGAACAGGGACATTCACCAACAAGCCGTTATAAGCAGCTCACTGTTTAAAAGCCACTGATTTAGCTCACTAATACCATGTTAAGGAGCATATTTCATTTATTCCAGCCTGACTCATCCTCTCGACATATTTTCCTTTTTCCAGGCAGCAAACCTCATGGTCTCTCTGCAGATCTTACCACTCGGCCGCACTAGCAGAAGAGACGGCTTGAGCCATGGAGCCAAGTTCTCATGAGAGCAGATACCGAGATGTTTCTTCTCTCAACCACACTTGGTTGCAGAAAGATTTAAAACCACTCATGGGGTTGTGCTGATTTTTGGTATGAGAGCTGCACAGCGAGCGGTGCTGGGCAAGAGACCTGGAAACTTTGTGCAATCTGTGTTTTCTAGGATTATCTGTCTGGGAGTAGAGGGCAACTGGGAGGGAGCCATTTTGAAACAGAACACAGGGCAGTTTCTGCAGAATTGTACAGTTGGACTGATGTGATTCAGGAAACCTCCATTTGAAGTAATTTAATTCTCAAAACAGGACTTATGAGGTTCTTACTGGGCTGTAACATTTTATCTCTTAATGCTTTCCTTCTCCACCCACCTCTTGCTACAGAAAACAAACCCAAGTGGCTCAGCCAGCCCTAAACTGCAGTAAACCAGCCACGTGGGAGGATGTGAGAGTCAAAAGTGATGTAGGAAGAAAGCAGAATCTGGATAAGATGTCCACCCCAGTTGATCAGGGAGTTCAAGAGAATTAAGGCAGCTAGTGGCAGCCAGGAGAGGAATGAAGGTCTGGATGCTCCCTGCAGAGCAGCTTCTGAGTAACTTCTGTTTGACAGACGTCAGCGCAAACGGGAGGGACTCATCTGATTTCAGCAACGATGGGACCAGGTCCCATGTAGAATGCTGCCTCCGCTCGTGCCCTGCCAGACTACATCGACACCCCAAATTCTGCGCACACATAAGGAGGAACAGCTCTCATGCCACTGCTGGAGCACGCCTGGTAGGAGCTCTTCATGCTGGCGGAATAACAACTCCCCACCTTTTGAGGGAGAAGAGCTACCAGGTGGACCACACCATCTTGGAGAGTTCAGACCTAACGGAGCAGAACTACCCAGGCACCTCAGCACACTTAATTTAAAATAAAATAAAATAAAATTAGGGATTGCTTCTAATTAGAGACAGATTTGAGAGGTAACAATTATGCTGCATCCCTCGACTACTTCTTCTAGCAATAGGTTACAGCTTTTACAGGGACAACTGGTCTGGAAAAACCATCTGGGTCACACATCTGGGTAAAGTGTTAAGCAGCCACCTCACCGGTTTACAACAGGAATTGCAAAATGGGCATTTGTTAAAAAAATTTAACATCTTCTTTTCACTTCACAAAGTCAGTCAAGAGAAATCAAGCGACTACCGTCACCAACGAATAGCCAAGAACAAAATCCAAGTGATTTTGCTGTTGTTTCATTCTCCCTCTCCCCATTCAAAGCTACTAAGTCCCCATCAAGTTTGCTCACTCACACAAATGCACAAACACCATAAGCTGATTTCTCTTTACTTCACAGTCTTGGCAAAACAAATCTGCATTCAAAAGTCATTTCACATTTAATATATTAATCAAACATTTTCAAAATAAATATATTCTTTTTAAAATAACCGTTTCTTTAAATCACTGCAGTAGCAATTCTAGAAAAGTCAGTGCACAGACAGTAGCAATTTGATTAATCAGCTAGACTCAAACAATAAGAAAAACAAGAGGGGGACCTTTTCTCTCTCCAAGCAGGCTGCATGCAGCAAGGCTCAGCAGTTTCCTAGCACACAATCTTTCTTCACACTTGCTGGGAAGGGTTTTCTCTCTCACAGACACTGTCAGAAGTCAGTGAAGTCTGAATTGTGCAAAGCTTTGTACAATGCAAAGTTTTACAGCCGGGTTACTGATCAGTCCTGCAGAGGTTCTGCATGCTAGAGTCGTTGCTAATGAGATCAATGAATCAATGCTATGGAAGGAAAACGCTTGAACTCTCAGTCCGAGGAGCCCATGTTCACGTTATTGGGAAGTAAATTCACAGCTGGTCCAGGAACACCAATAGCATTAACACAACATTCAAGCGAGCAGCTCAGTTATGCCTAGCAGCTTATTCCAACATTTTGCATATTCTCTCAAGTGCTTCCAGGGCAGAAGTAAAGCAACTATTTCTCCCCATTAGCTATTCATTCACCAGTTAAATCACAGCAGTAAGATGCTTCACTGGCCAAAGAGTGTAACTTGTGTTACAGCAGAGGGGAAAAAAAAAAAAAAGTGTATTATAGACTACAAAGAGAGTATTCAGGTCTTAGTGATCTCAAGCCCACACATCTAACTGGAAAAAAGAGACAACAGAAAGTTAGTGTTCCCATATTATCTATAACTAGGTAGATGCTACTTCTCAACCCTGTAAAGGGCAGTTATATTTTCTTAAGAAGGGAAACTTGTCAGCATCACCATACACAGTGCACAGCAGGGAAATCTGGAGGGCTGGCTACCAGATTATTTGCTACAATTGTCAGGAATGACTTCACTGAAAAAACCCATGAATGTTTAATAAGAGATCTGAAAAATGTAAGAGAGATCCATTTCCTTTGAGATCCCAAAGGTTCCCTTTGAAGCCCTTTCTCAGGAAAAAGTTGGATGTGATACTCTGGGTTGAAAGGAATATCCAGAGACATCCCTTTGTCCAGAGATGCTCTTGGCTGCACGCTAAGGTAAATTCAAGACCCTCCCAAGAGCCTTGCATCCATGTTATGAGCATGTTAATTGCCAGTTTGGACCAGTTCCTTACTCTAAAGAGTATCAAAGTATCAAAAAACCCAGATGTAAGGGAAACAATCACAGATGAAGAGAACCTCCAGTTCTAGCAATGCTGCACACCGGGAGAAAGGAATACTGGGGTAGGACAGCAAACCCTCAGAGCTCTACAAGATAACCCAGGCTGCTGAAATCTCTCCCCTTGCTCTGCACATATCTACCCCTAGAGTCCATGAAAGCTACGTGCCTTGGGGGAAGGCTCTACTCTTCAGTGCTATGGACCATGCCCCAAGATTCTGCCAAAGTGGGAAGTAAGAAAGCAATGAGTTGTGGAGAAGTTCTCTGTTAGCTTATTGGTTTTTCTTGTCCTCTGGTGGGAAGTATGGAGGAGGGGGTGGCTGGTCCTGAAATAAAGACAATGAAAGAATATCAATTCAGGGCTAAGGAAAAAACAAAACAAATAAACAAAAAACCCAAAACACCCAGCAAAACCAGTAACGACAAAACCAGCAAAATCAGTTCAGACAAACTTTGCTGTGTCACTGAGAACAAGAGCTGCTTAATACACACTTCTGCTCACATTGCAATACCAGAACGATACAGGAACTTACCGTGGGCATATAGACGTTATGTGGGTTGACTGGGCTGTAGTAAGCACTGGCAGCGGCTTCAGCAGCCTTCGCTTCAGCTGTCAGGGAAACAGAAGTTATAGATTTGGTGACATGCAGAGAACTTTTACAACCAAAAACTCCACATATTCTTGGCTACCAAGTGTTACTTACAGAGTACTATTTGACCAACACTTAAGTTGCAAAATAGCTACAACAAACACAATTGAGCATTCTCTCTTCCAAGTACTAAAGATTCAGTTGCCACAGGATTGTCAAATCAGGAGCAAAACAGTCCCAAGCCTTAGTTTGGAGATGTCACCTGGGACTTGCCTGTTAGCCAACAAATAAATGCTAATGGCTGTTTTGCCTAAATACAGACAATACCCCTTAAAAAGGCAGTCAACAAAGCATCCTTCTCAGAAGTGAAAACACAAGACGAAACAAAAAACCAGCACAAGTTTATAGCAGCTCAGGGGATTCATAATTTGAAGATGGTAATTTATGAAGATAATCCAGATCCTCTATTTCTGCAGAATACAAAAATCTTGTACAACCATCTGGATCAGTGCCACTTTCCAAATGATAGTTCAAGATGATGGTTGTTTATTCAAACAAAAGAGAGAAGTTAATGATATTTGTCTGGATAAGAATTTATCTGTGAGATCTATGGCTGTGCCCAACCACAAAAGCTCATTTTTGGGTTGGTTTTTTTTTGTTTGTTTTTTGGTTTTTTGTTCCCCTCTCTCCCCCACAGATCTTTTAAGACCATGTTCAGAACAATTTTGATAAATCCCGAATGAGTGAAAATGAGACTGACTCTTCCCCAGTTCCTTACCATTATCTATTCCTCTGTTCCATATTGTTTAAGCAAAAGTAACCAGGTTAGAGTGAAATGGGGGAAGGGGGAGCAAACATCAGCAAAGCCATATTTGCTAACTAAAATGGACTAGAAACATATTTCACCATCAATTTCTTTTGATTCATCTAACAGAGCAAGGTTACCATCACAGGAGAATCACAAACTGTATTTTTTCTGCCATGACAAGAATAAATCCAGCTGCAAAATATCTGCTTGTGGTATCCACCCTGGAGAGAATCAGGCTGATCTCCAGACTGAGATGGATACACAAGGCTGGAGATTAGGGGAACTCCCTAATCCCTCTCCTAAACAATTTTAACTTCTAAGTTGACTCTAAGTTCCCTAAGAGATAACAGAGAAGAAACAACATCTGTTTCATGGGTAACAAAACCACTGTGAGCTAATTCACCTGAACACACTTCTTACCTGCGGGAGTGGCGGGCAGGTCCGGAGCGCTGACAGGGGGTTCCATGGGCCCCGGGTACGGCGGGGGCGGAAGCTGCATGTAACCCATGTCTCCATCCACCACGGGGGGACCAGGATAAAACTCTGCCAGGGAAGGAAATAGCACAACAAAAGACTTAACTCCTTTGGGTGGGTCACAGCATACAGCCAAAACAAGGCAAAGGCAAACACAAGCTCAGAAACAAAAGTTGCACAAGGCATCAGATCCAACCTGAAAGACTATGTAAAATTTGTGTTTCTTCCCCTTTTTACCTATTTAAACTCTTGCCAACTAGAATAATCCCCATTCCCAATTCCCAGACTTACCAGGAGGAGGTGGTGGGTACGGATAGCCCCCATTAGCTGCAGCTGGTGCGAAAGCATATGATCCATTTGGCATATAGGAATAGCCGTAAGCTCCATTGGGTATTTCACCTCTGGAGACTGGAAAAGTAAAGATAAAGTTGACTTCATCAAAACATCAAGCCTGCATCAAATGCAGGTGAAGACCTCCAACAAACTTAAATAATCCTTAGCTGAAAAACAAACAAGCTCCATCCCAATAAATGTGCTGTTCATCGGATGTGAAAACGTATTTTTTAAAGCAAGTTCCAGGTACAGCCTGAAACTCACATGGATGTGAAGCCAACTTGTTGCAACCTAAAACCGTCCTTGCTGCAAGATGAAGGCAAAGCCTTCTGAAACAGAAAACTGTCTGGGTTCCATACCTTGTGACGCCACCTGCAGCATGCGCTGCCCAAACTCGATAGCACCCCCAGCTGAAAAGGTCATCTTGAATGTGGCAGATCCTTCCCAGCCACCTGCAGGGAGGAGAGACAGAATTCAGAAGCAAGGAGAAGCTGTTTAGATGGTATTTATCTTCCATGCTTTATCTTATCTACAGATGCCCTGTATATAATTCCTTGAAGAGTCTATCCCAAAAAATCCAAGAAAAAAAATGCAGATAAAGTGGCAGAATTACCCTATTATCAGAAAAATTCACATTGGGGTATTTTCAGGTCAAGAGACACCTGAAGAAGAAACATCAATGAGGGAGACCTTCTAAAGCTTACTAAAGTTCTGCCTGTCACCACACCAGCTGCCAACAGGCCAAGCTATCAGAAGCACTGGATTTGCTCTAGCTTTGTATAAGATTAGTAAGAAGACAGGGATTTTGTTAATCCCATTTGCTAAAAAGCCTTTGCAACTACACCTAACTGCCAGCTATAAATTAGTTTGGGAGTTCAAGTGCCCGATGAAGCAAAGAGCTTAATGAAAAACATGGTCCACATATCCATTAGAGTCCATGGAAGATATTTCAAGTCAGGATAATAATAAAAAATTGGTGGCATCTCATATTACAGACTAAAAATGAAAAACACGCACAGCCCAGAGTCCCAACAATGCATCAAAGCAGAGGCTATGTCAGTGCTGAAACAGGGACACGTAGATTAAAGAGCTTTTTGAGCTAAACCAGACATTCGCAGCTGTTAAAGCAACATCCTCATTAAAGGAGACAGCCTCTGGGGAAAACTCACGAAGATTTAGCTAAAGCTGTTTGCCTTTCACACAGTTTACAGAGTTTGTCATTACTGCTCGAGCTTCCTCTCACGCTGGATAGTCCCACTTTGCTTCCATACAGAAGCTACAATGTTGATTTCAGGATTATAGACTGAAGGCTCCTTAGCACTGCACTGTGATTGCAGTGCCACAGCTAATACAGTAAATCAAGCTGGGGATGAAAGAGTTTACTGAACTATGTGCTTCTGGTAAAACAAGGAAGCATAAAACAGTGATTAAAAAAAAATTCTGCTTGAAAATGTCTACCACAACCTTCTAATTGAACATAATATGAAAGCGCCCCTTGAAGATTCCCTAATTTCAAGACAGTCCATTCTCTTCCAGGTGTGATTTTTACAGCTAAGATGCACTATAGCAATAGCATGCTTTTCCTTGAATTGCACAAGAAATTGATGATAGAGAACAGCGCTCTGCAGGTCCAGAAAGGATCACGAGTCTTTGGCATAGGAGGACCTGGATGCAAAATTAACAGGTAACCCCAACTGACCAAAGCAAAATTACACCCTCTGTCTTGCTGACTCTGCTCTGATGTTTACTAAGTGAGATAACTTGGCTGATGGAACTTAGTATTTTGCACAGAGGGCAGGAATGAGATCGGTTGCAGAACAGATCTGTTCATGGTAGCTGTACAGGGAGCAGATAAGGGGAATATTTTTAGCTGCTAATTTCAAAGAAACACATTTTATCAGTATGGTAAAACCCCACTTGGTCAGTATCCAGTTTTGGTTACACTGGATACTTACTTTGCTATGAATTGTGTAGTTGAACTAAGATACAGAACATACATGTGTACTATACATACCTCCTGCCTCTGCTTTCACTGTGCCCTTGATATAATTCGCTCCAAAGACAGGCTGCTTAATCTCACAATCTTTCAACAAATAAAAGGGCATCATGAAAGACTGCATAGCATCCTTTCCCTTAGATACAAAGATAACCTGAAAAGAAAATAACATTATAAAGGGTGTTTAAAACAAACAGGAAACACAGCCCCAATTTATTATCTGAAGAGACTTTTTGATGGACTGAAACTCCCTCCCACATCTGAAGCTTCTTGTCAGTTCTGCAAGCAAAAGCTACACAGAACAGCCACAAGGGTAAACTGGAGCCTCAAGGAAACAAAGTCTTCCCAGAAGGCTACCCTTGCTCAGATAATGCTCCTTCCAGCTTCCAGAGAACTCGTTGCTCCACACAGCTATGATTTATTAGCTGTTCTGTAGCATTCAGCATTTCCAGACCATAGCTAATTTCCAATCTTGAAGATGCCTGATGGACTAAACAGCTGCCTGTATAAGAACTAATCAGATTTATTATCTTTTGACAAATAGATAGGATATGAAATGAATTTATAATGCTCCCCAGAGGGAGAGGATGAGCCATACTTCAAGGGGCTATTAGCCTGACTTCCATGCACTGAGGACATTTAAATACAGAATCACAAAGCCCTTATCTCCTTATACAAGATAAAGCCTTTTACTACTTACTCGGTATGGAGTCAAGAAAACACTCCCTTTCTTGGTCCCTTTGAAGGCATCTGGCATTGGCTCAATATCACTGAAGGTAATTTCTATGTGATCATAGGTCATCAAAATGCTGCAAACCAGATGAGAGAAGAGACACAGTGTTACAGTGCTACAGCTCAAGGCAGAAGTGCAATATGCATGTAAGTTTACTGGCCTACCAAAACCACCTTTAAGCTCAGTCCCGTGCTCAGCAGACAATCAGTCTGGCTTGCATTTTTTTTTTTGTTGGCAGCAGCAACTTAAGTAGCACTGGCTGCTTGTTCTCAGCCTTGTGTTCCCTCCTCAGTGTGCTGGCACAGCTACCGCTGCCTCCGTAGCCAGGCAGTGAATCTAGTGAATTGAACCGATCAAGCTCTCAAGACACAGATAGATTTTTTTTTTAAACTTGTGTTGCATTTCTGCTGGATCAGTTCCCTAATTTGGTTCACTAACTAACACAACAGAGGAAGGACTGCTGAAGCAGGAACTGCTCAGGATGGCTTATGCAACACGGCTGTTGAAGGTCTAACCACAGCTTAAGCATCTCTGTCACAAAAACGTGACCAAGAGGAACTCCCCTTTCTTGCCACTAAACTTCATTAACCCGTGCTGTCTGCACTGACTCCTTAATTCCCAATTAGAAACTGACCTGATTAAAACCAGTGCAATACCCTTGCATGGATGCAGTGGGTAATTTGTATTCACATAACAGCACCCACATTAGGGACTCTAATCCCTAAAGCTGGAGAAACCTCCACCACCTTTATCTTTGGCAGCTTACGCGTTACCATCCTCAGTCATTCGCCTTTCCCTTCTGCCAGCAAGGACCTGTCCCTCCAGCAAAAGCTCCAGAAGGGCACAGGGGCCAGCAGCTCTGTTCAGGCTACAGCGTTGTCAGCTGAATCAACCACCACAAGCAGCCTGGGCCGCAACGTGAGAGGTAACCCCTGATCCAAGGCAGGCTGACAAGTGGGAACAGTAACACATTAAGCTGCCACGGTTGTTTGTTTCAGTGAACGCAAATGTAAGCCCCAAAAGTTGATCTTAATTTTCTTCTAAGGGTCACACCCCAAATGGAAGTCAGGTGCAGAATTCCTATACCAGTGTTTAACCGGCCTCATGGAAAGAAGCCCTGAAGAATGAACTGCTCCTTTGTCCCAGGAGCAGGTGACTACCATGTCAGAACCGAAGCACGCTGGCAGACGCAGAGGGTGAGGACAGCCCATTGCCGTGCAGACAGAGGCAGCTCTGTGGAGGCTTGCTGTTTCCATGGTTATACCCCAGCACCTTTTTCCAACACTGTTGCTGCTTCCCGAAAACACGGAGGGGGTGTGCGCGCGAGGAACCCAGCAAACCACACCGGGCAGACGGCTTTAGCGCTTCCCAAGCGGGCAGCTCTGGAACACAGGCACACTGCAGGTGCAGCATCCCAGCTCTCCAGCAGCACCGGGTGGCGAGAGAAGGATGAGGCTTGGGCCCAGGCCAGAATCACCTGGCCGGGGGCTGAGCTCTGCCAGCCCTCCCCGA